AACCAAATGTATTTAATCTTTTATGGAATATTTGAAAATTAAAATAATATAAGTTAATATCTGCAATTGTTTTTAAGCTTTTATTTTGGGATTCTACATAGCTGTATTCAGTTACCGTTACGTTGGCTTTATTTCAGATTTCAGTAGTAAAAAGCTTCCTTGTAATGGAATTTGGATGTCACAAACATGAAAATTTACTGTTATAAAAATAAGATACCTATTTGTATAAATGAGGCAGAAAGAAGACAAATTTATTTGCTTACAGCCAGCTTATTCTCCAAGGGAGAATAAAATTATTCTCCAAAGTTATTTTCCAAATTTCACTTCACACTGTGCTGAGGAAATGAATGTTTTTGTAGGATATGAATTAGGATCCAAGTGTCAAATGCATTTAACCAGAAATATCCCATTAAACTTGTTCTGTTCAACAAATCGTTCTCACATTTTAGTTTTGATGAAAGCTAACTTATCTTAAAACTATTTAATGTTAGGTTCTGTTCCAGATTCTGTCGCCTTTTCAATTGGCACCACATATTTTTTGTAAGAATGTATGGCTATCATCTGAGACCTTATTGAAAACTTTCCTGTAAAACAGATCCCCAAAGCACTTTTGTGTATGAATGTGTGTGCAGCCTTTCTGCAAATACACAGCATTTTATTGAACTCTGATATTCTATGTTGTGACAGATACAGTGTTCATCTTTTTTGGAAAACTGCAACTTTTGAAAAATGGGTTATTGGGTGGAAATGTTAAATACTGCTTCAGCACTTAAAAAGAGTAGCCCCTTCACAAATAAATTGTGCAGAGAATTCCATCTCTGACTTCAGAAAGCTCAACTCAACTCAACTCAACTCAGAAAGCTCAAACTGTCCAAGGAGCTGCTGATACAGTTCTACAGAGGAATTATTGAGTCTGTCATCTGCACCTCTATAACTGTCTGGTTTGGTTCTGCAACCCAACAAGAAAGACACAGACTTCAGAGGATAATTAGAACTGCAGAAAAAACAATTGCTACCAACCTACCTTCATTGAGGACCTGTATACTGTACGAGTCAAAAAGAGGGCTGTGAAAATATTTACAGGCCCCTCACATCCTGGACATAAACTGTTTCAACTCCTACCCTCAAAACGATGCTATAGAGCATTGCACACCAGAACAACTATACACAAGAACAGGTTTTCCCCAAATGCCATCACTCTGCTAAACAAATAATTCCCTCAACACTGTCAAACTAGTTACTAAGTCTGCATTACTATTAATCTTCTCATCATTCCTATCATCCATCTCCTCCCACTTATGACAATATGACTGTAATCCTGTTGCTGGTATCCTTACGGTTTATATTGACTGTTTCCTAATATGATTTGATTGCTTATTTGTTCGCTACGACTATCATTAAGTGTTGTACCTTATGATTCTTGACGAATGTCTCTTTTCTTTTATGTACACTGAGAGCATATGCACCAAGACAAATTTCTTGTGTGTCCAATCACACTTGGCCAATAAAGAATTCTATTCTATTCTATTCTATTCTATTCTATTCTATTCTATTCTATTCTATTCTATTCTATTCTATTCTATTCTATTCTATTCTCCAAAGCACCCATAATAGATACAAGAATCCTCAGCAATGCCAGAGGTATTTAATATGTGTATATCAATAACAATCCATAAAAGTGAATGCAGTGAAAACCTTTGTGGGGTGGGAAGCAATAGAACAAAATGTTGTGGCTTGTGCACCAGAAAGATGTAGTTTTCCAGCAGAAGAAAATTACAGATGTATGGGAGCCCTATGTTGAGGAACTAGAAATCTTTTTGTAAAAAAAGGAAGGTAAATATGATTGCACAAAACCCTTCATTTGGGGTTCTGCAACATGACACTTTCCCTATGGCCTGGCCTACCTTTCCAGCCAAACTGACCCAGGGTTATCTTAGATATGGGTGATGGGAGCTACATTTAATGAACACATCAGAGTGGGAGCAGAACAGCTGGCAAATTAAAGCAAATAATTAGCTATAAATCACAATGCACATGACTTTCATTAGAAATCACTATCGTATGTTTTTCACTGCCATGAATACACAGCATGGTCTCTGAAGGGAGCTGTGGACTCTCTGAAGTTTTTTCTTCAGTAGTTGTTTTTGCTGGGAAGAACAGGATAAACCCAAAATGGATGCTTGGATCAAGGCAGAACAGGCAGTTCCAAAGAGTTTGGCTGTCTGCAGGCAACGGTCAGAACAGACACTGGCAGGTTTCCTGATAAAAGGCACGCTCAAGTAAAATTATTTCTAGATGCCATAAAATGGCATAGAAAAGAACTATAACCTGCAAGCAAAATGCATCCAGCCAATAGCCTAGCTTAACATGGGAGGTGAAAAAAAACCAAATTTGCAAAGGGGCTGAGAGAGATTTAAGGGTACAGTGCTTTTCAGAAAACATCTGAATTTTAAAATAACCTATTGGCTAATCAAGTGCAGCCATTCCTGTCAGTGGAACAAATAGAGCATAACAAAATGATGAATCTTCAATCTGGATGGCTATAGAAAGTACTGGCTTGGCACACCTTCCTTTTGCTGAAGGTAAAGAAGCCAAAATACTGTTTTTAAAAAGCAGAATCTTTAATCTTCTCTATTAAGTCAACAGAACCTGCATTTGCCCCTATCAACCCCCCCCCCCCACCTCCTCAGGGCAGTCCATTTGCTTCCTCCGTTCAGGTTGCTGGAATCTGGCTGCGAAAATGGCCAGTTTTCAATAGCACATTTTTTTCCTCTTTGTTTGCAAAAATAAAGGTAGGATCTTCTGTTCTTCAAGCACCAACCCGGAGGCTCCAAGTGATCCTTCTAAAGCTCAGACTATATTGGGAGATTTTTTTTAAAAAAATTATATAAATGAAAGATGTTTGTCTCACCTCTTGATTTTTTAACCCACCCTCCATAGGCCAATATTGTTTCTGGCATGCGCTTTCTGATTAAATTGCCACATCACCAATTGGCCGCCTCCAGTTCTCTGTCCTCTGATCCATCAGTAGTTGCCCATCCCTGCCAGGCATTTTCTAAATCAGTCCAAATTCAAGACAAGGTGGTTGCCCACACTTACACTGCCATTCATTCCCAGCACAGGAAAGCAGGGTCAAAAGCACTCAATGTATAGGTACTGTATAGATACTACCTCAGTTGATAAAAGAGAATGGGCAGAAGGTAAAGAAATAATAAAATAGATTAGGGAAGGTAGTAAAAGGTCATCCACAAGACAGAAGCTAGATTACTTATCTGTTTGGGCTCTACCCAATGTTTAGAAACTACAGTAATGGAAACCACTGTGTGGTTTTATATGTACAGTATATTAAGCAGCCATGTTCTATTTGTCATTTGGGGCTCTTATAATGAACAAGAGGGCTGTGAGCAGTGACAGATGACTACCTAAAATTAGCAGAACTCAGCAGCCTGGAGTAAGAAGAATTTATGTTGTCATTCTGTAAAACACAGGAGGGAAATAATTTTTTTTTTAAAATTTATATAAGAATCACTGCTCATTTTCACAAACCTTCCTGTATAATTCTTTGGACACAGAAGAGTTGTCGGTTTTCATAAACCCCATCCTAGCAATTTAATTAGTGTCTAGAATCTGTTTTCAACTGTAAATACATTGAGCACAAACCATTTAGACTCAAGAGGCTGCATAACACGTATCTTCTCTAGTAGCAGAAAATAATAATAATAATAATAATAATAATAATAATAATAATAATAATAATAATGCATATATTTTCTGGATAATGGATTTAAAGCTTTCAAAAACTATTTTAAAATATTCCATAAATTGTATTAAATTTGCTTGATGTGAAACAAAGACTGCTAGTCTTCCCTCAGGCACAGAAGCTGGGTGACTGACTGTGGACCAGGCACTGAGTTGTTGTAGATAATATGAAGGAATATTATGTATGCCTTGAGTTGTACAAGTAAAGGTGGAATATAAATCTCATAAATAAAGTTTAAAAATATTTTTGGTGCAGGTCATTTTTATAGAATTACACAGAGACAAATTAAGCACCACGTGTTAGTTAAAAGAGGCAGTTTGCCATAGTGCTTAAGGCACCAGGAGACTGTGAGCTCTAATCCTGCTTTAGGCATGAAGCCATCTGGGTGACCTTGAGCCAGTCATTCTCTCAGCCCCAGGTAGGAGGCAATGGCAAGCCACTTCTGAAAAAAATTGCCAAGGAAATTGCAGGGACTCATCTAGGCAATTGCTAAGGGTCACTGCTGACCCAAAGGCACAAATAAAAATAAAAAAGAAAAAAAAATAATTTAAAGAATGAATTTTCTGGATCAGTTCTGAGCTGTAGCAAAGAATGCTATTCATTACAAAAGTCCTTCGTAATTTGGAGATGATTTCAAAATTTTAGGTGTTACATACTGTATAAGGAGTGGGCACCACAGTGCAAATTGCTGATATAACTGGAATGTAAAAGCTAGGACATTGCTATAAAATATTTACCAGAGGTAACAAATATCACTAATTTCAGTATATCTTCCTGCTTATGTAGCATATTCCTAAACTTTCATTATATCTAAACTTCAGAAACATAAAACTGGAAAGCAATGAAAAGCAAGTTGTTAAAGTTTAGTTCTAAAAGCAAGACATTTAAATAAAAATGTAAAACCCCACACCTATGGTACTACAGGTCGCAAAGTCAAAAATTGTCTTCTTTTTAAAGTGTATGACTCAGTCAAAGATACACATATTTTTGATTCCCAGAGTATTAAAACTATGCTTTTTTCACTACTGTAAAATTAAAAAGACAAACAAGTATTGGGCTCTGTTTTATTGTTGGCAAAGGGGCTTTTGCATATCCTGGTGTATATTGGACATTAATATGACAAAAGGCTATTTTCAGCTGCCCAATTAATATTCAAAATAGTGATTTTGGTAAAGCTTGTGCTGATGATATAAATGTCAATATTATTGTAGTAAAAATTAAATGGAATTCCAGTCCTTAGGAAAGTACATTAATCTAATTTAATAACAGAGATTTTGTTACATAATTTTACAAAAATTTATACCAATAGCATATTTAGCATCCATAAAATATAAACAGTGAAATGAAAAGGAGCACATTGGGTGTCTTAAAGCTCCCAATTTTGTAATTTCTGGGTAAAAATTCTCCCAGATTTCTCTGAAATATTTTCTTAAAAAAAAAACAAAAAACCAAGCACAACTCTCTGTAAAATCACATAATTAGTGACGTTGCATTAACATATACAAACAAGCTTAGTCCCACCATCCTGTGAATGCCTTAACTTGGAATGAGTTGAACACAATATGTATTTGCAACACCATGCTTGATGAAAAACTAACAAATGGAGCAAATGAATAAAAGGTTGCTTCGTTTTTAAGGCTTTGTTATCATCTGCCTATGTCAATATGCTAGGTTGTTTAAAAAGACCAAAGGCACTTTTTCTCTGTGTGACAAACTGTGTCTACAAAACGGTATATGAATATAAAGCTAAAATATTTAGGAGGTTTGCAGAATACACTTTACAATATAAATATAAAACAGATCAGCATGAGTCTATTATAACAATTCTTGGCAATATCTGCATATTTTCATGTACATTTACATTACATTAGCAGCAACTGCAAAATACTTAGATACAATACAGAAAGCAGCCTGGGTTTCATTTCTAATTAGAATGCCCTCTGAGTTATGTACATATAACAGTAAAAAACAACCCATTTAAAAATGTAAGTTGCCAGGTTGCATTCAATGATTTCCCCCCTTTTGTGTTCCCACCAAACTGGGATGAGCCAGCTACTGCTTCTCCTGTTCTTCCGCCCCTCTCCACTTTTCCATAATTGGTTACTCTGCTTCCCTCATTCTTAGTGCAATGACCAAGAAGATCCTATGGGAAAGTTCACATATTGCAATAGCCCATAAGATGATTAGGTTTGATTTACTGCAGTGGGCGAACCAATTGTGATTTGTTAAATAATAGTTTATAGCTTAGTGTTCTGTAAAATCAGCCACCTATGGTTTATTAAAGAATCTATGATGTAATGTGAGCAGTGAAATGTGTATCCCACAACACAAAAAGTAGATATATAATAGGCCCTGAGGGAGAAAAAAAGAAGTTGGAAAAGCTATTAGCTGACTTTTCCTCTAGTTGAGCTCAACAGGCTCAAAAATAAAGGAGGATTCACAAGTTTGTAACTTGGCAAGCCTAATTTTGTTCCATTTTAATCCAGGCCCAATAGTTCTTATTCATTATTTAATAAAATCAATTGTTTTTCACCTAATTGCAAATAGTTCAATTACATTATTTACAAAATATTTTCAACAAATATTACTTTACAAATTAAATTTGACACCACACTCTGCTTTCCATCCAATACCTCAGCCACCTACATCCACACATAAAATTGGCAAAGGAAACTTCCAGGGAACTGAGCTCCATATCTAAAGGTGCTTTAAATACTTTTCAGATGAAGACTTTTAATATGTTGTATATTAAGACCAGCTTTTCCTTTCAAAAAGCCTTAGTTGTCCTAACGTGTTAATTGCTAAGAGCAAGCTCGCTCTCAGGTCCAGATCAATAACTACTTTCAGTGAATTATGGATTTTAAAAACTAATGTTCATGAAGATGGATCTTAAGTGGACCCAAACAAACATCAGATACAGGGATTAGGTATCCAATCTTATATCTTTCTACACAGTAAAACCCAGTCTGGCTGGAAGAGATATGCTACTTAAGATTTCACCAACATTAACAATCACTTTTGAAGAGATAAAACATTCAAATCAATTTTCCTAGGGTAGTGAGATGCCACACAGTCATTAACCAATGGCAAGCCAATATAAGAAAGTTAACCTTTGACACTGCATTATGGCTAGACCTGAACAAGAGTTACTTGCTCTTTAAAATTTTAATAAAGCCAATCAGTTACATTTACATATATTCACATGTATTGTATTTAGAATATGAAGATAAGGTTCATATTCATGGGGCTGTCATAATGTGATTTGGTTCGGGCCTAGCATAAACCTAGCAACTGTAATTTATTCAATCAGAGTTAAGCAAACTATGGCTTAAAAAAAAACTCTTGTAACTCTTTGGCAACATGGCCAATGATCCCAGACTAAGATGGCTCTTGAAAGCTAAAATTACAATCAACAGTTTATGTGGTATCATTTCAAAATAGCTTATAAAAATTAGAATTAATCTCCACACTGATTCATGACTTGGTAAACTGTATCTTTTTTCCAACAGAAGAGAACTGAACTGTGAAGTCCTTTGGGCTCTGAGCATGGTTGTTTATTTGCAGATGTTTCATTACCAGACTAGATAATATTATCAGTGCTAGTTTAAATGTGGGGTTTGCTTTCTGTTTATATACAGTAGCTTGCCCTACCAGTGTTGGTGGGAATGTGGTTTTCTCCTTGGTAAAGAATTGTCTGCAAGCAAACAAACAACTCATAGTATAGTTTTTAATGTGATTCATTGAGACCTATGTCAAAAAAGACATGGATAATATCATAGCCCAGAGTACTACTGATATCAGATATTTTAGCTAAAATTCTGGATTGGAGAGAGAGAAATAATTTAAAGTAACGAAAATATGACAATTATTTCTTGGTAAGGTATTTCTGACTTCACTCAATTCTACAACAACTCCAGTTGGGCAGATGTAATAATTTATTCGAATTTGGTGGGATGTTTCCCAATTAGCATGTTAATCAAGAAAGTAGAATATTTAATTTTCCTGATTAACACAGATTTACAATAGCAAGCAAAATAAAAATATTCAGTATTATAACCGTAAGTATTATAGTGCTCTGTTCACATTGATAGCATTAGTTATTTTTTCACTGCTTAAAGTATCCAATTCACTGTACTGAATGCAGTACAATATTTTCAGCAAGCAGATTAATATTACCAATGGTTGTTTAACTTTCTTTTAAAAAATAAACTATTCATTCAAATTTTAATGTTCAGTGCGTTTTAGAAACCTGGCAATGGTAAATCAAAGCATGCCATGTTAAGAATTAAAGGGTATCTTTTTATAAATGCTAGACAAAAGGTTAAAAGCAATTATAAAACAAATTAGTGGATGCAAATCTCTCGACAACTATGTATGTGTATGTGTGTGTGCGCTCACACACACATACAAGCTTTATCTGTAACAAAGCTAGAAATAGAATCCTAGAATTAGAAGAAGCTGGCTTTATTACCTTCCCACCCAATTTGAGCTACTAAGGATTGTTTTTTTAATAGTATGTTACTATGATTTAAAATTAGTACGGAATGTTATGATTTTTGAGCTGAGTACTCTAGATGCATTGTTATGGACTATTTTTGTGCTAGACATATAGGCAATACACCCAAACGACTTTGGCCTCCCCAAAGTATTCAGGGTAAGGATATTTTTGCATACAAATAAATAATTCTAATATTTTATCTCCCATATTAAACTTGGAAAGAAATGTAAAATGGCATGTCTGCAAAATACAAGTTTCTTGAGAGATCAGAATTCTCCTGTACTCAAAGATACTAATTGTAGGTCCTCAGAATTAAACCACCATATCCAAACTATTAGGAATAGACTGATGAGAACATATTCAGAAATAACAGAGATCAACCTCCACCTTATTAATAAGCTTGGAAAAAGTGGCCAGGGGTTGGAGAAGTCTCACCTCACACTTGGCCAGAAATACTTGCTAAAACTCAGCTATAAATGTAAAAAAACAACAATTTTCATCTTTGTCAATGATTCTGACTGTCAAAAGCCGGCTGCACCTGCTGTTACGCAGCTGTGAAAACATACTGTAATTTTGGCTTTTCCCTCTTTTTCCAATCATATTTCATTATTTGTTCACATCACAGTCTCCTAATTCTACAAGCTTTCAAACATTCTGTGTGAGGTAATCAAACCAAAGCACAAGCACAGTCAGTAATGTGAGACGTGTTGCTCATTTTCTTCCTGACCCGTGATGAAAAGCACCTTTCTTTCTGGGTTTTGTTCCAAATATAATGATCTTTTATTGAATTCTCTCTCTGATTATGAGGATCCTTACTCCTGTGCTCTCTCTCTCTCTAATATTATATATAAAAGGTTAGAGAGGGTAAAATTTGGATTCTTACCCAGTGGAGAATATGGTGGCAGTGTATGTTATGTTTTAAATTGAGAAAAGGTTGCTTTTTTCTGTATAACCAGGGGCCTTGGCAGACACCTATTCAAGAAATATCCAAATGCATCAATTTGGATAAATAGTTTTGCTATTCAGTGAACTCTTTATAAACTGTTTTTAACTGATGAAATGTGTTTTAATTTTTATAGATTTTTTTTAAAAAAAATTCAGATGGATGTGAGAGAAAAAGAGTCTTTTGAGGGATTACATTTTTCTAAACTATTTTAATCTTTCAGAAAATTGATTCATTCTTTTTTTCCACTTTTCATTTTTATTTCTGTCATGACTACCACCTCCTTTCCTCCCTCCTCTCTCCTCCATATCTCCTGAGCTGTATTGGGGGCCTTTAGAGAAACATAAAACATGAAGCAGTGCCTTGAATTTGACAGACTCGTAATAGAAATGTGATGCGTCCAATAGGACTGAATGCTTATTTTAATTTGGGGAGAAGTAGTTCATCATGAATAATGTAATAAATCTAACACATATTCTAGAAGTTCACTTTTTTAATGCACTGACTCTTTTGGAAAGTGAATGATGGAATAAAAGAAAAGAAAGCATAGGAAGCCCATTTTTGTGGTTAAGTACCTAGGATCAAGTATTAATCCATACACACAGACACACACACATATACAGACATACACAGACACACAAGAATTTCCCTCGTGTGTATTTCAAATAACATCATCCTTCATTCATTCATTCATACATACTTCTTCTTGCCTTTTATATTATTTAAAATAACTTGGCACATTCCCCTTTATTGAACCAAAAGATGATTTCAAAATGTTCCAAGCATATTATTTTCTGCTTCTCACCTCCTTTGGAGGTCAATTTAAATGTTGTGACTTCAATGCAAAGGCAAACTATGGCACAAAAGAATGGATTATTAAATTAAAAAAATCAACATAAATATCACTTTGCTGTACAATTTTCACAGCCCAGGCCCATTCATTTTTATTCACATTTTTTATAAGTTCCCACCCCATTTTAGATCATAAAATATATATTTAAAATCTTTGTTCATATTTAAAAACATATTTACAGGAAAAGACAAGTCCCTTCTGTTAAAATCATGAAGAGTCTGTACAAGGAGATGGAGGAGGGGGGTAGAGGTGGAAGTAGCTTCGCTCAGTAGCTGGAGACGGTGGGCAGCTTTCCTCTGCTGACATGTACTGGCTGCGAGGAGTAGGAGGAGGTGGATAAGGATCTGAGTCTGAGTTTAAGTCGATGTAGTATTTGTTAGCTTTCCACCGACTTGTGGTGTAGTCACTGTCACATACATCTGTGCTGCAAGGGGTAGTTGGTGGAGCAATCCCTCTGATAAGATAAGGCCTAAAATACAAGATACACATTAGTAGCATTGTAGCAAAATTCTGCTTGCTGGGAAAGGACAGAAATTGGAGACTTTCCACTTCTTTTTATCTGCAGCAAATTAGCCTCAATAGACACATAGACAACATCTACATACGCTGCAAAAGAGATCATCAGCACGCCAAAAAGGGAACAAAAAGACTCTCAAACACTTACCCAACAGCAATCAATACCCAAATGAGCATAGATTAACACCAACTTTAATATCAGACTAACAATCAAGAAGTAAACAATATTTCCCAATCAAGAAGCTGCCAAAGAAGCTAACAGTAAACAGCCCAACCAAAGAACCTCCAAGATCCCCACCCACACTGGCAGGGCAAGCCACTAGAATATAAATTGAGAGTAAACCCCACTCCTTACTAGAACTGATGATGTTACCTAGCTTGGGTAATGGAACAACCAAATAGAGAGAGCACCAAGGACCCCTCATACTGGGGTCCTTAGTGCTCATGTTTTCCTGAGCAGTCTAAAAATGCATGTCCATGTTAAGTCCAATCACAAAGCCTTATTTCCCAGTTTGAAGATTCCACCAATCAAACTGTACAAAGCTGAGAACTGGAGCAGCTTTATTAGAAAAAGAAAGTATTCTTTATCCAAAGCTGTTATATAAGCAAAATAAGAAGCAGTTATTTAAAAACTAAGAGTTAAAGAATCTGCCAAATGATTTTGAAAGCCATTACCTGTAAGACCTTGTTGTTGATGGAATGTTTGAAGAATAAAACATTTCTGTGTTATAGAGGGAGCGATCTGTAGCTGGTGAAGGTGGTGGATTCAAAATCTGTGTGAATGTAAAATGAAATAGTTTAATAATGTCCAATGGGAGCTACTTGTATCAATGAAATCGTTTGAGATGCCTGAGGACAAGTGGGCCTTCTGTGCTTTCTTTGGGTAATAATCTAAAAGACCATACTATGAGAATCTGTTTCAAATCCAGATGTTTTTCTAAAACAATGGGACCATTCTATTAATGTGCCACCATTTAAAGTTATATAAATAAATAAATGTTCTGCTAATTATTACATTAAGGAATCAGCATACATTTTATACTAATTTATTTCCATGAAATAACTTGGTACTCCAGGATAAACGGGGACAGCAGTTCTCCACAATTTTACCATAGACCTTTCCAGGAGGCCATCAAAGTTGCATTTTCTTAAATATAAATGTTCAAGTTGGGTATATGTGAGAAATAGAGAACTGTTCTCCAACTCCCATCAGCTATTGGTGTGTGAAGGTTGACTAAGAGGAAACTGAGATCTTTGAACCCAATCTAACTTCCTTAAGTTTGATTCAAATTTCATGTTTGCATGATAGCAACTCCTTCCTCCTCCACAATTATCTAGCTAAGTGTGCTGTTCAAGCAGGGCTAATAGGAACTGAGATCATAATTGCAACATGGCTTATACAATTTTCAACACTTACCTGTGGATAAAATGTGGCTTTTGTACTGGATGAACTACTAGAGGAAGCTCCAGTGACGTGGTTTCTGTCATAAAGAGGGGCACCACTGCTTCCACCCATTAGGCTCATGGAGCTAATCATGGATTTTCCACAAGAGATGCCTATATGGATAGAAGAAATAAGAATATACTTATTCGGTTATATACTCACTGAAATTTACCAAAGCAATTACTGTGGTAAAAGATGTCTATATGGACTGCAGAATCTTGGTTTTATCACAAGGCTTTAAAAAAATGCAATTCCTTTAACTTTTCAAATGCAGAAATTCTTTCCTACACAAGCTTGAACATTTTCTTAAATATTAGAATTTAAAAGATCTCTGCACAAGCAATACGTATCCTATAACACATACAGTTCTGCATCATATCTACAAACAATCCTATTCAAAGCACACTACTCATACAGAAGATATGGCTAAAAGAATAATAAAAGATCTCAAATTCTGAGCGCTGGCATTCCAAAGGAAGAAAGAATCCACTTCAAAATATTTCCCTTCATTCTATTTTTGAAGATTCTAAAATAGTAGTTTGGCCGGAGATTCAAAAGCAGGAGCAATATAATGAAGATCATCATATAACCACAGCTAGTTGTTATTTAGCATGTAGCAAAGTAAAAAAACAAAACAAAATCTGAAGAACATTATAGGAATACATAGAGGCACTGTTACTATTACCTGTAAAGGTCCCATGCTGAGAACTCCCTGGAGCAATGAAATTTAAGGGAACATGAGGGGTCCCGCTGACATACTCATGTGGAAAAGGTCCATTAGGCCCAGCGTAACGTTGGCAAACCACACGCTGGCAAACAAAATACATGCCTCCCATGACAAAAAGGGTAAGAATAATTCCAATCACAGGCCCAATAGCATTACTGTGGGGTCCAGAATCATTAGAGGATTTAATTTTTTCTGGAAAAAAAAAAAGAAAAGAAATTAGAACTCTATCTCCTCCTTTTTAACAGCCCTACAAATGTTAGTATAAAAAGATTAGAGGGCCTTTTTGGCACAGGCTTCCAGTTACTAACAACATAACCCAGACATGGCTGATGGGATTTACATTCTAAGTAATTTTTCACTTATGTGAGTTACCAGTAGAGGAGTTCAGTTGTCATCTTTGATGTTGTAGATTCTGGCTGAAAAGGTTCTCCTCTATAGAATGTAATACTGTTGGAACAATTCCAAGTTTCCAGTTTGTCCCCAAAGTTTATATCTATCAATAGCCCACTACTGCAAATCATGTGCAGATTGGTGCTTCCAATCCTAGATGACTTCGGGTCATCTCCTATGTGCAAAGGTTCCGCAATCACTGTGGGTGCTTATTTTTCTGTACAAGTGGCTAAAGCAACTAATTTTAAATTATTAACGTCAAAAGAAGTTTTAACAATGTGTGCAGTGCCAAAAGGGTAGCATTTGTTGAGAAGGATCAGCAAATAATGAGAATATGAAGGACAGGAGCCTATTAGAAATAATGTTTGTATTAAAGTTTGTAGAAATAAACACTAAAAGTTTACTTCCCTCTCCACATTCTGCATAAATAACTTTTCTCCTGTCACCTCGTATCAGCTGTCTAGTATAGTAAACCAGACGTTGCCTTCCTTTTATCATCTTTTTACAAATCACAGTAAATGAAGCTTTCTGTAAACTTACTAGCAAGACACATACACATACCTTTGCACTGAAGTGTTTCAACACTGTGCAAAGGAAGAAAGATGTGGAATCCCCAACTGTATCACCTTTCCTGGTTTGAGAGTGATACCTTCCCACTTTCACAATGTCTACTTTAGCAACCTTTGTCAACTAGCAGAGTCCACAAGTGTCACCTTTGACTATAACCCAACTATAACACATTGATAAGGGTCTCCTCAAACCTGGAACCAATCTAACATCACTTAGGAGCCCCCAAGTTTTAATGTATTGAAAGGAGCATTCAAATAAAACCAATATTGGCATGTTCTCTTCATAACTTCAACAGTACTTTTCAGTGTTCAAAAGGCTGCTCAATGTTTACTTCGTTTTATTCATATGCAAATTCCATTAGGGGGGATTTGATGGTGGCTGGATCATGGTAACTTGTGGTTTTCCCGTATTAAGTTGGCCCAAGGAATACATAGTCCAAATTATTTTTGGTCTTCTTTTTTCACCATGGGATGATGGGATTTGTAATCCAGTGCATCTAGAAGGCACCAAATTGGGGAAGGGTAGACCAGTTTGCAATCTACAGCATTTTATTACAAGGACCCTTGTGGCTCTTTTCTGTATAAGTTTATCTCTATTGCAACATAGTTATCAATGGCAATCATTCTAATGGAAAATAGCCAGTTCAATTCCTTTTACAACATTCTGGAGGTCATTAGAGGGCTGCTATCTCTAAGTATTTTTCCCTCAATCCCAACACATACAGAAGTCCTAGGACTGAAAATACAGAATTATTATCAAACCATCTACAGTCAGAAAATGGCATTTATGGTTAGCATAAACGATGCAGGGATTAAAGCCAATCTGAACAGCCACCAAAGGCCCAGGGGGACAAGACAGAATTGCATCTGCTTTGGCCTTTTGATAATAGCTTTATTTTACACAGTTGTTTTTTCATTTGGCTACATCTGAAGAAAGAAAAATGACCGCTTTCTGAAAACTGCAAAGCACCATTGAAGAGTATTACATTTCAAGGACAGAAGTATTAAGCCTCGGCAATAGTAAATAACTATATTTGCTTTTCTAGACTTCGAGAATAAACAGTGATCCCTGGATCCAAACTTGCCTTTACGAACTGATAGCTTCCAGTTGTGTTGGGCTGAAAAACTTTAGAATTTCCTAGCTGTTGGCTAAATTGGCTGGGAATTCTGGGAATGTTAGCCCAACACAAATTGTGTAAAGATAATTAACAATAGGAAGCCTTTTACAATACCAACTTACCGGTAAAAAGTGCCTTATCACAGAAAAGTTCATCAGAACCATCAATGCAGTCCGGAAAAGAGTCACACTGCTGTTTTTTGAGAATACACTGGCCATTGGCACACTGAAAGTGATTCTGCAGACAAATAGCTGTGAGGGGGTGGGTGGGATGGGAGAAAATCACCAAACAATTTTTAATACTTTCAAGATAAATCAACCAAACCTAAACAAAATAATAAACACATCACTTTCTTCAAGACAGCAGTTATTTTATAAGCCTCCAAGAACCACAAATAAACATTATACTCGGTCCCCTTGAAATCAAGCATTTGGCAGAAAACATAAATGCAAACCACTCACAGTCTTCTGTTAAGCACTGAAGATATGGGAAGATGAACTAACATAGTGTCAATGTAGAGTTTACTCTAATCCCTTAAAACAGGGATGAACAACCCATTTGTGGTTTGAGGACACAATTTTAAAAATGTAGGGGGGAAGAAAGAATAGAAGGCTATGAGGAATGTGACAAGGATGGCCTGGCATCATTTAAGAGTGCATAAGCAAAATGTTTTATTCTACTTTTGGAATGGGTGTTTTATTTACCAAGAATATAAAAATAAAACTCAATAATGAATTATTGCTATAGGCAGTGACTTTTGATTAATTAATTAGTTACATTTGCTTTATTTATATGCTGCTTTTTCTGGAAGGCTCTGGATGGCTAATAATAACTTCACAGAACAAGAAATCTCCTTAACAACAGCAACAAAAACCCATTTGATTTATTAATCATTCACCATAAAGCAAATGATCAAAAGTATACACTGAAGAAAACGTACAAAACAATTCAAATTCTATACCTGCACTTGTGAGGGAAAGAAAGCAGTCATAATTGCTTTCCTGAAAATCAGGAGAGAAAGAGAAGATCTCCATAGGGAAGGCATGCCAAAGTCTGGAAGATTTTATAGAAAATGCTGGTTTCTGAGGTCTCATCCAGTAGCATTCCTATACAGGACAGGATCTGGAGGACCAACCCTTATTTGATCTTAATGGACATCAGATGAATGTGGGAAAAAAAAGGCCCTCAGATAATCTGGTCTTGAATCATGTAGGGCCTTAAAAATGAGGACCAGAATCTTGGAATTGCATTCAGATGCCAACCAGCAACCAAGACAAGTCCTAAAACAGTCGAGCCATCCAAGAATATTGGGATGTATCCATCACTGTCTAGGACTTTGCATTTTGTATCATTGATAGCTTCCAAATGCTTTCCAAAGGCAGCCCTATGTAAAGGGACTGTAAGCAGGGCCCCACAATAAAGACCGCAACTGGAGCATGAGATATAATTAAACAAAAGCCTTCTTGGTCACAGCTGCCAGCCCCCAAGTTGCAAACCATCTCTGAATAGAGGAGTGCAACTCCATTCACAGTGAACATCATTTGACCTTGAAATTCAAAGCTAATCTGTCTTGGAGGGGATCATTTTAAGACTGTCCCTTCTCATACAGGCCCTGACAGCTTCAAGCATTGGGTCAGTCCTTTTACCATCTCTCGTGTTTGACCAGGCTGAGATCTATAGGCGTATATGTATAAGCATAGTTCCATGTTCTTCCCTCATTGCTGAATCTAACAATGTGTATGTGTCTATCATAAGATAAAGTATACAGCTCTTACTTTCACAATAAGATTCATCAGATTTATCTTGGCAATCAACTTCTCCATTACATCTCAAATGTGCGTCGATGCACTGTCCCTTCTCACATTGGAACTGGGTTGCTGAGCAGATGGGGCAGTTTTCTTCATCACTCTGATCATCACATTCTGAAAAGCCATCACAACGCCATGCCATGGGAATACAATCAATCTCTCCAGTTGCACATGTGAACTGATCTGGGGAACAGGTTGGTGGCTCTGAAAGGAATTTTTAAAGAACTGCATGAAACTCTTCAAAATATTAAATAATTTACAACAAAGAATGCACTGTTTTATCTTTGTAAGGCCCTTATACTAACCCTAACCCTAACCCTGTAACATTATGACATTTATTTCAATCAGCCTGAACTGAACTCTGCCCATACAAGGCAACTCCACCCCCTTTACAAAAGACATAAAATATGCAGAACCCCCTGAATGTATTGAAAATCTGCAATCTATTATTTGGAGGCTATGTTTGGAAATGTTGTCATTCTCAAAGAGGCAACAAATTTCATCCTGCGATTTAGATCTGGAAACTAGTTCCAAAAGGAGCAAATTCAATGTCTAAAAAATAAGTATCACGTATACCATACACCAAGTCTAAATTACAATTACAGAAAGTAATTAACATGAAACACTGTAATTCGAAAACTGCAATAAATGAAATGATAACTAAGAAGAGCTCTATTTATATAATTAAAAAGTAAACTAGCTTTTCCTTTAACTCCCTGTATTGAAATCTACCTTTCATGAAGAAAGTTAAAATGCATGTGACAGCTACTTATAAAAAATGTGTTTGAAAAAAGCCAATTGATAACAATAATCAAATGTTTTTTGATAGAACAAAATTCTTATAGAACAAATTACAATTAACTGAAATTAATCTGTCTAATTAATTGATTTCTAATATGAATAACAAGATCTTATTTATACCTAAAGTTTCCTTAAAACAATCATCACTGAACAACATTTTGTGCCTTTTTTCTAAGGATTTATCAGTTAATAAGAAAAAAAAATCTTTTCCATATGACATCTAGAAGAATTTAATTTCACCACTTTCAAAGTGGGGTGATATTAATTCAGAGCATCTTGAATGGTACAATGGATAACTGAGTGAAACATGTAATGCTGATTTGAGCTACAAGATTTGAGAAATCTTGAAAGAGTTTACTCTATTTCCCTTCTACACCTCTTGAAAAAAGGTCTTTTCCAAAGGCTGCTATCCCAATGGTGAAAATTTCTGCTCTTGTACTTTTATATGCCTAAATCCAGGACGTTGTTTGATCTCTTATAAGGCCCTCTTGGATCCCTTGATTTTTAAGGCTTGAGTTGAAAATCCACAATAGTTAACCAGATCTGAGACAATGCATTTTCCCCCATGAAGAATTACACTTGTACACAAGGATTAACTGGTTTATTGAATGCAGTGAGTCACTTGGATCATTATTCTTTAAAAAACTCACAATGAATTCCCTCCCCCCCCTTTTTAATTTGTCCACCACAGTGGTGAAATCCTCCGAGGTTTGCCACTGGTTTGTTGCGCACACATGCATGGTGCTCGCCAAACGTGTGCTGCATGCACATGCACAGTGCATGTGCACTTGTGCATTGCGTGCCGAACGTGTGCTTCATGTGGAAAAATGAGAAGGTAAGTAGAACAGCGAGGGGGGGAAAACAGCTGTGCCATTCGCTAGAAGGCAGGATTTCCTGCTTTCCAGCAAATATAAATCGCGTGGCACAGCTGATCATTGGAAATACCGGTTTGGAAGAACCGGGGGTATTTTTTTTACTACCGGTTTGCCCGAACCAGTGCAAACTGGTAGCATTTCACCCCTGGTCCACCATAAAATATCAGGCTCAGTACTTCGGCCCTGAATAGAGTGACTGCAGAGAGAATATATAAGTATATCTGTGATGGTTGACAAATCTGTGATACTGAAGATTTCAAATTAGGATGCTAGGAAAAAAGACAAGGATAAATATAAAATTACTGTATTAGGAATGGTATGTAAATGTGAGATTCAACATACAATAAGAAGAGTGCATTTATCATGAGGAATCTCTCACAAATGGAGAAACATGAGCCAATAAACTGACCTTCTTTCTCCATAGAATAGATGTAAAACTCCAATACCACAGAGCATGTTGTGGTTGCGAGACAGAAACTGTTTATAAGAGATCCCTGGAGAGCTCATAGTACAGCAAATGTGTCATTTAAGAGAAAGAAGTATTTTCAAAATAAACTTGAGAAGGGAAGTTTTAAGCTGCAAAGATGGGAGGAAAAAAAGCCTTCCTGATGAGAGGGGATGTTTATTTTCACAGAAAATATTTTGAAAAATGTTTTCTTCCATAAAAGCAAAGAAAGGATATATTGGAATAAAATGGATAAATTTGGACACTGAAATAGGGGAAACTCTTAGCTAAAAACATAGCACCATATTTCTTAATGCTGAGTTGCAAGATATCTATTCTACATAATGCCATTTGTATGTAATTATTACAGCATGATTATGCTATTTCTTACTGCCTTTTGTTTATCTACCCAAAGTAACAATTTTCAGGATTTTTGGAAAATACATGCAAGCCCCCACTTTTGGAATATTAAATATAAACTCAGAAACTAGGATCCAAGCAGTGATTTATGGCTTAATGTTATATGGAATTAGCTTTGTAAGGAAATTATAACCTATTAAGGCCTTCATCATATGGATGCTATCAGTTCCTAAAGTCAATCTTCTTGTTTTTTAGAAACCGTCTACAAGTTTAGAGGACAGAACTAGTTAATTAAAACTCACTGCATCCAAAAGTGGCTTGTTGTTAGTAGAAAATGTTTCCATGCAATTTATACGTCACAGAGAAATCATTAAATACAACTCAAATACAGGTGTTTGTGTGTATGTACCCCGTTTCCCCCAAAATAAGACATCCCCTGATAATAAGCCCAATCAGGCTTTTGAGCACATGGCAATAAGGCCAAGGGTTTATTTTAGGGTTCAAAAAAATATAAGACAGGGTCTTATTTTTGGGAAAACATGGTATCTATATGTACTGTATCTGTATGTATATTTACATTGGATTTATGTGACACTCATCTTGTCTAGAAGCCTCTGGGTGGCTTACAAACAGGTTCCCTTAGTTATCTGTGATTCCTTTATTCACAATTAGGAAATACAGACTAGATCTCATTATCTGCAGTAAAGGAGTTTACATAACCCCAAATTTGGAGACTATTTCTGTGTGGATCTTTTTGTGCATATTATGCACGTTTTAAATGATGATTGGGGCACTGCATACTTTTATAAAATCTTCTTTTCTGTAGTTTTGTTATCCCCAATTTTGAATGAAACCGAGGAATAATGATAGCCTTGTGTAGATTATTTTATTTAAATCCTCAAAGAAAAATGAGAAAGGAAGGAGAAGAGGTAAAAGAAACACTGAGTGTAGACGTCATTTACAAACAGGGCTGTTTTCAGTAGTATTTAGTACTCCAATCACAGCATTTCCTGGAATGTTTGACTAGTTGCATCACTTTGAAGAAGTTCAAAGGCACTATTGCACAGAGAATCTCTCTGTATGAACTGTTTCCAAACATCTACATGATGTATTGATGAGATCACTCAAAGAGTTCATGGTTTGAATTTGATTACTTGGTTAATAAAACCCATCTCTAGTTTACAACTCATTGAGTGATTCTGAGCAGGTCCTCAATATGAAGCAAAAAACTGAGGTTCAGTCCAGACAAAATAGAGGTTCTGCTGCTCAGCAGACAATCTAATATGAGGTCCGGATGCAATCTGTTTTGGATGGAATGGTTTTAGATTATATTTGTTTTAAGGGGAAACAAATAAAAATGCCCCTTGCGGTTATCTTTTTCCATTTACTTTCTATTTTATTTCACTGAAATACAGAGCCTAAGAAACAATTTTGAATTAGACATCACTACGATGAGATTTTCTTACAGTATTTCCTCGTGATAATGAATAAAGAATCACAACATAGTTTTTGGTGGGAACAACCAGCATAGTTATGAAAACAGTAAAATGCACTGTAGTCCTGTGCTTTAGTTAGTGTATATTAGACTCATTGTGATTTTTATAACACTCCCTCCCCACTACAGTACAGATATTATACAGGTCTTGTTAATATATTGTCTCAATTACAGAAAGATTACTATGCATGTAAAAATGGTAGTCAAATTTACCTGCTGAATTTAAATTGCTCTCATAATCTCATTTGGGTGCAAATACTGCCTGCCAATGGCAAGGGATTGAGTGCATGAACGGGTCAAGCAACGTGAAGGCTTCCCACAAAACGGGGACCTGCAGATCTCTCTGAGTTTAACTCAAATAATTCTCACATTGTCTGCTACATCTAAGGAGCAGTAGATAAGGAAAACTGTTCTAGAGCCATGAAGTACAAATACATCTGCCTTGCGAAGCTTGAATGCTTAACAATCTTTCCTGAAAGGAAACCTTTTGCTTAAGACTACTTACCTCCACACGTTAAGAGGTCCTGCAGAAGTACCAAATGAACAGGGCAGGAACACCTGGGAGTTCCATCTCCTTTTGCTATACAGAGGTGTGAACACTTCCCATTATCTCGGGAACACGGGTGGTTTGCTTCATGTAGAGAAAAAGGAGGATAGCAGTTGTTTATAGAATAGGGGAAAAATTCCTAAATGTATTACTACTTAAGTACAGGTAGTGCTCGACTTACAAAAAGTTCATTTAATGACTGTTCAAAGTTACAACAGCAGTGAAAAAAGTGACTCAGGACCGTTTTTCACAGTTACAACCTTGTAAACACAGGTTACAAGGTTGTAACACAGTTAGCATCCCCATAATCATGGGATCAAAATATAGATGCTTGACAACTGAGTCATATTTATGACTGTTGCTGTGTCCCAGGTCATGTGATCTCCTTTTGAGACCTTCTGACAAGCAAAGTCACTGGGGAAATGAGATTCACTTAACAACCGGGTTACTAACTTATCAACCGCAGTGATTCACTTAACAACTGTGGCAAGAAAGGTCGTAAAATGGGGCAAAAGTCACTTAACAAATGTCTTGCTTAACAACAGAAATTTTGGGCTCCATTGTGGTTGTAAATCGAGGACTACCTGTAATAGTTTGTAAATTTCAAGTTTCTTTACAGACATTTTATTATTGCACCAAATTGCTATATCACAGTTAAACTCTTAGAGGAGGGCAGGTGGGAGAGGAGGGATATAAAGGCAGCAATAGGGCATGGTAAAGAGAAGAGAAAAAAACCCCAAAACACTGCTTTAGAGATTAGAGGCGTTCTCAATCAACACTTTTAAAATATTGGTCAATTTTGCCCTTCTTGTTTCATTTTTAGCAATAAAGAGGACTCCATCTCATTGAAACAAAGAAAGAACCGCAAGCACATCCTTATTACGGTAGCTTAGCTGAGGCATTCACTTAAAATTAGTTTCACACCCTCCCCTCTTTAAACTATCTGTTTCCACTCAAACTGGTAATTAATAATAACTTTAAAAACTATTTGTTTCCTCTGTCCTCCTTTTCCTTTTGAATTGTGGCATTTAGACATGGGGAATAGGGAGGACATTGTTTTCTGCCTGTATATAATAAATATATTCTCTACATTTTACAAATGGTAATAAGTAAATGTTTCCAATATGCATGAAAGAGTAGCTCTTTGAGACCTATTTTAATTTATTTAATTGATATATAGGTTGCCTGTCTTCTTTGATGAAGAATGAATTTAATCAAGAATGGAAAAGATGAATTCCTTTTCTATGTTCTCTGAAGACTATATAACTTCTAAATAACTATACATAAAATTCAAGCTGCACAGGATACAAGCTGAAGTAGTAACCTTTCTAGAACTGGGCTCAATGTTACCTGAGATCAAAAGACAGGTGCATTCTTAACTCCCAGCAAGTATGGGAAATTTTATGAGGAAAAACATAACAATTTTTTTGCCGACTTGTTCATTCTGATGTAAAACTTAGAAAATTATCAGAGTTTAGTATATAAACTCATAGTGGCATTAGAACAATCACTGACTTGTAACACACAAGAAAAGGTCAACAGTTTCCAACACATATGGTGCTCAACAGCCATTTTTCTTACTTCTAGGAAATTGTGCACAACCTCTTATAAAAAGGTACCTGCTTGATCATTAAAAGACAAAGGATTAACTTCCTTGTTGTATTTTCTGATACCTAGAACTTTGTTGTTGTGACATAATGATTGTGGGCAATATACAAGGAAAGAAGGAATAAGAAATCAGTTTTACCATGTAACAGCCAATTTCTTTTAGAAACAGTAGCCCACACATGTAGGGAGATTTCATATCATAAGTGACTACCAAATACCAAAAGCAAACAAAATCAGAAGATTCTCTCCCAGGGCTGAAGATGGCTTGTTAGTGGAGTTTTGTAGTATTTGGGGCTTACAGACCAGTGATGGAAAGTGTTTAGGAAGGGGAGCAGGTTTTTTTTAATCTCTTTAAAAAATTAACAAATTAATCTAGATGATTTCTAGAGAAAAGTTCTGCTGAGTGAGAACAACAAAAAAAGTCCTCCTATTCTTAACCTTTTCTAAAAACCACTCCTTTTGTGAATGTTACCTTCATTCATGCAAAAAGCAGATTTTTTGCTAAATGATTTTTTTCTGTGGATGAAGCATGAATTCTGAGATAATGCAATCCACTCTGGATACATCTCCAAATTTAGAGAACTTTGCTCCAATGAACTCTTAGCTAAAGTTGGCGTGTTTGTGGCTTCAGAACCACAGTAAAAGGTTTCTAATTTTAGTTTAACTTTAATTTAAAAAGTTCTTGAAAATCCCACTAGATCTCAGTCAACAGAAAATACATGAGGTAAAATAATCTCATTTAAGATGAACTTCACTCAAGGTTGGTATATGTTTTAAGAGGCCTGCCTATTTTAATTCTTTACACTTACAAATAAAGTTATAAGGTATTAATTAACTCTCTGTGGCAGGAACATCCTTCAAGATGTTCACAGTAGCTATTTATTGGAAAAGATAGTTTAAATTTCCACATGTAAGTGCTCACTGCTGTGTAACTAGATCTAGTTAGATTTCTTTCCTTTTCTCTTACTTCCTGTCTTTAATTTTTATTGCACACTACTTCTTACTCTTTTCCTGGTTTTGCATAATGTTGCCTATCTTGAAAGATGGACAAAAATTTGGAAAAATGGTTGAAAAAATATATTCAAAACAAACAACAAAAGTAATGTTTAACTAAGACACAACGGAGGGATTTGAGATAACAAAGGGAGTAAGACAAGGCTGCCCACTCTCCCCACTTCTTTTTATCCTATCACTGGAATCACTCTTAAATAGAATCAGGGAAGATCAAGAGATTAAAGGTTTGAGAATTAAGAATGAGGAATATAAAATTCAAGCCTATGCAGATGATATGGTTTTTATAATTGAAGACCTGCTAAAATCAGGCCTTAAATTGATTAGAAAAGTAGAGGAATTTGGTGCAGTGGCGGGTTTAAAAATAAATCAAAATTATTAACCAAAAACTTTACAAAAGAACAGGAGATAGAATTAGAAAAGACTATGGATATACAAACTACCAAAAAAAGTAAAATATTTGGGAATCTGGCTGATCGCAAGAAGCTCATCAATCAAAAAAGAAAATTATGATAAATTGGTTTGGCAAATTGAGAAGGATTTGGAAAATTGGACAAAGCTGCAAATTTCATGGACAGGAAGAGTGGCGGCAATAAAAATGAGTATCTTGCCCAAAATTTTATTCCTCTTCCAGGTTATACCGATTAGAATGGGAAAAAAATCTTTGATTTATTAAACAGAATGACTACAAAATTTATTTGGCAAGGGAAGAAAGCCAGAATTAGATTAAAAGTATTACAAGATACAAGAGACAGAGGAGGAATAGCCTTCCCGGACTGGGAGACCTATTACCAAGCAGCTGGCTTAGTCTGGATAGAATTAGAAAATAAAAGACTCTTAATATTAGAGGGACACGATCTTCATGTAGGGTGGCATGCATTTCTATTGGGGGGGGAACAGAACACACATGGATACTTCAAAAGACATGTAATTAGGAATTCACTCTTAACAATTTGGAATAAAATTAAGAAACATCACTATATAGGAGTACCATCCTGGATCCCTCCAGAAGAAATATTAACACACCCAAATTTACTAGACTGGTCCAAAATTATTAGATATAGGGATATTGTTAATGGAGGGGGAACCCTAAAAGCAAAAAACGAATTGGAACAGGACTTAGGTAGAGAAATACAATGGTGGTCATACCTACAAATAAAATCAAAATATATTGAGGAGAAGAAAACGGATCAAATTAGAGTAGAACTAACCGACCTTGATAAAATTCTGTTAAAGAATGAACAAAAACTAATTAGTAAAATATACAAATTTCTATTGCAGTATAAACTGGAAGAGGAAACCGTGAAAGAAACGATGATCAAATGGGCCCAAAATTTTAATTATTCGATAGAGTTGGAGAAGTGGGAGAAGATGTGGAAAACAAATATGAAATTAACAATCTCAACTGCATACAAGGAAAACCAGATGAAAATGTTTCACAGATGGCATCTTCCACCAGCGAGAATAGCGAAAATGTTCCCCAGCAATTCTCTGAAATGCTGGAAATGTAAGATTAGTTATGGAACATTTTATCACCAATGGTGGACATGCCCGGTAGTGAAATTTTTTTGGAAGAAAATTAAAAATTGGATCAAAGAAATAATCCAGAATTCAATAGAGGGAAAACCTGAACAGTTTCTATTAGGGATATCAATAGAAAATTATAGTAAAGAAACACAGTATCTCATACTACATATATTGACAGCAGCACGTATTATATATGTGCAATACTGGAAGAAAGAATTACCACCAGATAAGGATATAATGAAAAAGATTTTGGAATGCGCAGAATTGAATAAACTAACTAAAGAAATTCAGGGGAAAGAGGAAACTAAATACTATAAAGTGTGAAATAATTGGTATGAATGGCTGAAAAATAAGGAAATAAATTAAAGGAATGAAGACGGGAAAGAGAAAAATGTGATAGATCAATTAACATGTTAGTAGAAATGAAATAGAATAGGAAAAAAAGGCTGAATAAGTTAACATTATAATATCTGTAAATATTTATATATAGTAAGAAATGGATCACTGTTATGTAGCTGAAAAAGAAATTATGATTCTTGTATATATTGTATGTCTATGTATGTCTTTTTTACTATGTTTAAAATAAAAAACTTTTTATTAAAAAAAAAAGAGGTTATTATAATAGAATATTCTGTTAGTTGTAGATGGGAAACCTGAGAGAATCTGTAGTAAGTATTGGATGCAATCACCCTGAAACTGGAGAGGAAAATAAAAAATTGGAATATTATCTCACATGGTCCGTACATGTTCCACTGTTGCCACTTTGGGGATTGAAATCTACAGGATCAGTGCAATTTTAGTTCAATCACTGACAATTGAAGATGCAACTCTGCTATTTGGCTATATCTCAAGCAGCAAAATATGCAGACTTTTTGTACACAGGGTACACTTGAAAGTTGTATGCATTTATTTACTGGATTTATATGTTGGTGACTCATATAGGCTCATGGTAGCTTATAAAAATCTATTATAAAACAATGGTAAAGAACATTTAAACATCATTTATGAAGCATTTAAAATGCTTTATGGCAGTGACTAATATACATTTAGGAATTAGGGCGGATTCAGGTGCAAGGATGAAGACTGCTGAGCAATTTGTTCAAATCCTTTGAATTATTTCAATTATGTGATATTTATAGACAAGCCTTTTTTGTGACTTGTTTCTTTTCTGTCTTTTTGATGAGGAAAGTCAATATAGTTTTGCTAATTTTGTATTATATGTAACTTTTAAAAAATAAGTAGATAATCTAACCCTAATAAACAAAAATAAGTAAATAGCAGTCAATGAGGAGGGAAAGTGGTGGTTGTATCTATTTTAAAGCTGGATCATACTTGAATACTCATTTCCTATTATTCCTATTCCTCATTTCCAAAACCAAAATCAGTCTCAGAATTGCCATTCAGTTGATTCTAATTAAAAAGAAAAAAAGGGAATGTTCTGGAATAAATATTCAGCTTTGTTCTTCAGCTATGAAATTGATACAAACTATTTTATTTTATATGCAGTGATCATTATCAAATCAAGAATGATAAAACAAAGAAGTTCGATTTACTAACGTTTGACATATGAAGCCCATTTGTTTTTCCAATAGACATGGCTATTTCTTGATTTCTACTCACTTTTGAAAAACAGTGAATCAGAATGCCTCAGACAGATGAAATATATTGTTAGATTCACAATGTGAATATGGATTTGTTTTATTGCAAGGTACATGAAGTGAACAATGTGGTATAATGATAAGGACCTGGATTTGGATTAAGCTTTTCAAAGTTCAAATTCCCACTTGATCCTAGATCTCAGAGTATTCAATGCCAAACTTTTTTAGAGTAGACTCAAATAAAAATTTTCCTTCAGAGTTTAAAATTCCTATTAGAACTGACTCATGAATCTGAGCAGCAAGCTGAGAATAAAAAAGGGTAATGTAACAGGATATTGGAAAACATTAAGAATTTAATATTATAATAAACTTACAGAATTCCTCCATATCAATATCTTCAATGGCATGTATACCAGTTAGGTGAGCAATTCGACCTTGTATTCTGGTCCTCTTGTATCCATTGGTTTTTTCCACTCTTTCTATCATCTGCTGCTGCCGATCAATCCAGTAGAGATGATTTCCCAGAACAGTCAAACCCATTGGCTGGAGAATGTTGGAATCCTGTAATGTGACCCGGTTAGCCCCTGAAAGTATAACATAACTTTTGTCAATACAAACTTTCTTTTTTCTCTCTTTTTAGAAGGAAGATTTCAAAAAAAAAAAGTAATAATGATTTTTAAAAGTTACTATAGCTACTAGATGGTTGCTTGGCAAAAATTAGCATCTTGATTTTTTGTAAATGTTCTACACTTGACAGCCCTTACATGAGTAAAGTGAATACCAAAACAGACTGCAACACCTCATTAAAAGACCAATGAGAAAATAAGTACAACCAGTTTCATCTAATCCAGAAGGAGAACAATATATTCAAGTTATGTAGTTTCTTCTATAGAAGTGGTTTTCAGGTGAAATTATATTCAATGTCTCATAAGAGAAATATTTTATGAGCAATTTTTCTTAATAATAAGATTTCAGGTAGCATTCGAAGTAGAAGTGAATAATAACATTTAGAAAAGCGACTACTGTATTCTAACATATATTAAGCTAGAGAAAAGAATCAATTCTCTTTTATCCTAGTTATCTTTCTTCTTTTCATTATACCAAAAGGGCCCTACAGTGTTAGCGGTTTTGTTTTGTTGTCTTTTTATCCTTGCTTTTTTCTGTTTTTAAAATATGATTTTAGCAGAATTAATAAAATCTATATTGACATAAAAATACAAATCTGTTTCTAGTACAACTGTACTCCAAATTTTTATTATAGATTCATATTCCTGGCTTCTAAAGTCCTTCTGGCCCTATTAATGTATAATATTGCGTGTGTGTTTATTTAATTTATAGACTGGTTGGCTCCACTAGGATTCTGGGTAATATACAGAATAAAACAATTAAAACATTGGAATCAGAGGCAATTTCAAAAGCAAGTGTCCAAAAAAATAATACAATAATTTCTGTTGTTGGACTTCTGGAATCAGGACAGATTATAATTATCACTATCTAAAAACATTCATATTCTGTAAAGCAAATAGTTAAAAATGTAATGAACTAATTATAACCAAGGAGAAGAATAAAAGCTGGAAAGTTACAAAGAAAATAAGACAGGAAAATAAGTATACCCTCAGAAATCCTACTTTGGAGAAAAATCCATTCAGCATTCAGTTACAGAATTATCCGAGAATACTGAACTGGTTACTAACTTGCGCAGTTCACCAAAAGGTTCCATGGTTTGAATGGGACGCTCAGGACATTTTATGCAAAAAGGAGAGCACAACACACCTGATAAGTCGCAACTTTCAATCCGTTTGAGATCAGCATCCACCCAAAAGAGCTTCCCAAGCTTATTGTCAATCACTAGTGCAACAGGTCGAAGCAAACCAGTGGTGAAGAGCACTTCTCGTTCTGTTCCATCCAAGGCTGCACGCTCAATCTTTGGGGCTCGTTCTTGCATATTAGTGAAATACATGTACCTGACAACATATAAGAACAACTGAACTCTTAATATCTGGGAGACAAACATCATGTATAATTATATTCTCTGCCATTTTCTGAAGTTGTTTTCTGAGACTGAACTTCCTTTCTCAGCTTCTAGGGCAGATTAACTATGATCTTGTTTTGTACAAGGGAAATTCCAGTAAATTTTACGGCTAGAAAAGGGATATCTGAAATATACCGTCCGCTCGCTCCCAAGCCAAACTCCCCCGATGGACGTAGTACAGTTGGTTAAATAAAGCCAAAGGGATTGGGACTAGAAGCCTGTAGGCATGACCTCTCATCCTTCCCCTTCCCATCACAGCCCCAATAACAACTGCTCTGGAGGATTAGGACCACCCTCTGAGGCAAATGTGTGGGTAGAGATGAAATTGCTGTCCTCATTTATCTATATTTATTTAGTTTTATGATTTCTCTAGGAACTCAAGATTATAAAAATCCTTTCTGTGGATGGATATGTTATCAAGATTTTTTCCTATTATTCATTCAAAAGTTTCAACAATAAAAATAAATGCATTATTTCCAGAGACAAGAGCTTAATTAATCCCAGAAAACTGTTAGGTAGCTTTTGGTTTAAGTTAAAGGAGGTTAGAACAGCCTTGGTGGTCTAGCCATAAGAAACTGTCAGGCAGCCCTATGAAATTGGCTTAAAATATCCCAAGATAACAAGCAAAATAAATGTCTATATCCTATAACTAGCACGGGCAACCTCCATGGAACATTTTGCAACATTCAATGCAATATAACTTCTTAGAACTTGAGAGTATTCTCACCCTCGTTCTGCATTTACAACTATGGCCCTGGGCTTGTCATGATCTCCCCGTAAGACAACTCCAATCTGCTCGCCATTAAGTCTGTGGACATTGATTGTATTTGTAGCTTCACAGGTCCAGTACAAAGTATGGCTGAAAATATCAATGCTCAGGTCATGTGGCTGCTTTTCTGGATTTTGGCTTTGGTTGCGAATATTCATGACTGTGAAAGGCTACAAGGAAAAGAAAAACAAGAACAAAATAGATAAGATTATTTGATGTCACAGTATACAGAAAATTTGTTTAAAACCAAATAATAATTAGAGTTGTTAGAGAGAAAAAAATTCTAAGAATGTGATTTTATGCAATTCCATAAATCCCACTGAGTTCAATTACTTTTAACCCTAAGTAAGTGGTTACTGGATTGCAATTTCAGTTGACCAATTCAGTAAAGACAATAATTCACAAAGATGTAGACAAAAAATCATAGCTTGTTTTTTCTTCGCTCAGTATTTTACCAGACTTTGAGATGAACTATTCTTTCTGAGAACAAATCCTCCACTTTCTAAAATGGTACTATCAGTAGCTGTTTTTATTTGTATATGTATTAAAAAATTCCTGCCTATTGAGGGAATGAAACAATCAGATTATTAAAAGAAAGAACTGAAACATTTAAGGCAAGAGCTAATACATTCACAATTTGCTTTTAAAATGATCTACTTTTAACTTTAAAACTACTAAATCCACTTTAAAACTACTTTTAAAGTTTAAAAGAGGTGATAGAAAAGAACTGACAGCTATTTTGGGATGTGTATTTGAATGTAGAATTAAAAATGACATGTCACAAGACTGATATGGAAAATATGTAACACAAATATGTTTACATATGAAACCAGCTGATATCTTAATAATTAAATAATAATAATGAAAAGGGACATATAGATAACAAATCAGAAAAGTGATTTGGATAACTGTCTTATCTTAGATTTACAAAAAATATAAACTTATTAAAGAGGTTTCTGAGGACAAAGGGGAAATAAAAAATATTTTGGGACAGTATTTAAAAGGATTAAAGGTCAAGGTTCTTAAAAGCAAAGGAAAGGAATATAAAATTGGCTTATTTGATCAATGTTACAATATATGTGTTGTTGTTCCTGATAAATTGTTAAAATTGTTTGTACTTGTCTTTATGAAGGGGAAAGTAATTCCTCTACATATTTCTTTTCTTTTTTTACCATGTTTTTCTCTTTTCTCTTTTTCTTTTTTCAGGTACCTTTTTCTTTTTATATTTTTCTTAGGTTGTATTAATTTTTTATCTTTGTATCTGTAAATGTTAATAAAAATTATTGTAAAAAAAGGTGCTTGGGTCAGAGAAACCCCAGGGCTGTAAAGACAGCAATAGCAAGCTATTGATGTATTACTGTAAAGAAAGCTAGAAGTTCATGCAGGCCCCAAGAGGCAAGCTTACTTTTTTCTACATGATTTCAGGAAAAAAACAACTGAGAAATATCTGGTTATGAATATTAATATTTAAAACCACTAATTAACAGAGGCTAAATATGAAGTACCCCAATCATCAATATCACTGCAAATCTGCATACTAAAAATGTCGCAAGAAGGAATTCTTCAAAGTGAAACTCTTTTGCTTCTACAGAACAACAGACTGCATTGTAGCAAGTAGTCACCAATGTAATTTGCACCTAAGAAGAGCACTAATGGGAAACAATTCGGCAATTAACGCCTAGCAAATATTCTTCAAAGAGCAGGCCTGACACTAGAGAGCCCCTCCTTGGTACAAACAAGATTTCATTATCTGGTAGAAAATATTACAGCAAAATTTATCAAATTAGCCCAGATGGTCCTTTCCTACACCTCGTCCCCCAATTCTCATTTTTACAGAACACAAACTAGCGAAAATACATTCTTGGATGTATGAAAATGCACACTGAACATTCAAGTATTTTCCATAGAAAAAGAACTTTACTGCAGCTTGCCAAGAAAGAAATAATAAAGGGGCTCCATCAGCAACAGCCAAAATATGACAGTATAAATAGAAGGTGCTTTGATTGAAAAGGGCCTTTTTCCCCCTTTCTACTTCTTCAGAAACGTCCCAGTTTGGAATTAGCAGCCTTCTATCACAGCAAGAAAACTTTTAGGGTAGGAGAGGAAAAACATTTAAGTATTTACTTCTCACCCGCTAAGATAGCAAGGTGGGTTTTTTCATTTTTTGGCTTCCTTTCAGTTTAAATCCTGTAAAGGAAGTCTTGTTTTGGAAGGACACTGCAGGACCAGGTTGCAGAAAACATCCATACGGTATATTGCTATCAATATGCTGCATGTATATGCTATCAGTTTAGGCACATTTACAAGATAAAAATACTTGCCTGACTACCGTCATCTTTCGCCCTTTTAATAATGTTTTGGCGTCCATCTACCCAGTAGATGAATGCATCAAGTGGATCATAATCAATGGCTTTAACATTTCTTAGGCCATGGATGGGAAGAATGATGTCTGGACTCTGCTGATCATCTGGTATCATCCGACTTATTGCAGACCTCTGACTGAATAGTAAGAAACTACTGGGTGCTAAAGGTAGAAAAAAAATGAACACAATCCAAATAACAATATTGGTAAAATTCTTTTGGAAAGCAAATTACACATTTGCAAAAATATCAAAGTATAATCCTTCTATGTCCATATTTTTGCTAATACTATTATTGGTCACAGAATGACATGATTTCAATCCCATCTTCAAAGAAAACACCAGAATGATTTGCCAAAAAGTCTGATATATTTCGCATTACCAGATATGGGATAAAATGACATCTATGATCTTCAGTCCAGTCCCGGAAGGTATCCAGGGAAGCCTAACTCATGCAAGATTAATTAAGAAGACTGGTCTGCCTCACTTTCCCAGGGATCCTCTCTTGGAGGATCATGCAATGCCAGATCCAGGTTTTTTTTTAAAGGCCCTTTTGGGTAGGATGCCCTCTACATCTACCAATCTCAACTTCTACCAATCTTATTTGTTGAATCTGAATCATTAAAGAGAGATCCAACCTAGAACTAAGGAGAAATTTCCTAACAGTGAGAACAATTTGTCAGTAGAATGTCTTGCCTCCAGAAATGGATGGATGCTCCATCATTGGAGGTTTTCAAGAAGAAATTGGATAACCTAGAATAGTATACAGTCTCCTGATCATGCAGGGGGTTGGACTAGAAGACCTCCAAGGTCCCTTCCAACTTTGTTATTCTATGTCCTATGTTCTCCATTGCTGATGGCATATGGATGTGGGTGAATCCAGCTCTTGCCAAATTATAAGAGAGGCTCCCATCTCTCTCAATGCTTACTTGCATAGAAGGGACAGATGCATAAAGAATAACAGCAAGAAGCAGCAGTCAACCCAAGGAGTACTGGGCCAGCACTGGGTTCTGTTAAAACAAAGGACTCAGCAAATGTCAACTTGCCATTCAAGCCAACTGTATAGGAAGTAAACGCTGCTGACATTTTCTGCAAAATGTTCAGTTTATTTTCAGTGTATAACATTAAATAGTACTCCTCTTACTGACAAGCACTACCCCAAACAAAATTAAATCCTACCATTATTACTTGCATCAACTATATCTTTAAAATAATTGCAGTGTTTCAATTTAGATCCTTTAAAAATGAATTTAGAATTCCTTTCATTTAATGTGTTTAACCAAACTTTCCCTTTCCCTCCACCCTGAAGCAAAGCTGGTGTTACTTTAAATCACAAAGGCAGGTTTTTGGAAAACTCTGAAATGGACAACTGTTGGCAATCACCCTTTATGTTTATTTTCCAATACTGTTTTGAATCCAGAATTGTGCTGAGTTTTATCCAGTTGCTTTAATGATAGGTTTATTGTTAATTTCATTTTTTTGTGTTGTTTGTTAACCGATATCTGAATTTCTCTTCTGGTTGGAAAACAAGATAATGATTTTTCTATAAATGAAAATTAAGGCATTTATCGGGAGAGATGCAGACATCTATATATACAGCCATAAGTATCTAGTGTGCTAGGAGGACATGTGGATTTAGTAAAAATTATTCAAGTTTCGTTTTTAACGCTACTTATTTTTACTCCTTTTCATTGCCACCCACTAGGCTCAACCCTGGACTGAGCAACATGACAAAATTGCTAGAAGCTGCTGCAATGCCAGCAGAAAAGAATTAGCCCTTTCTTTTCATCTGGAAGGTTGCAGGATGAAAAAACCCACTCAGCCAGGTTTCAGGTATCAGAAACAAATGGGCTGGCAAGATGCCCTTGGAACAGGAACTATGCGGTTCCTTTGTGAAACCTCTCCTCTTTTAAGTTCTGTTGTAGAATCCTTGACATTCCTCCCATTCTACCCTGGGCTTACTGGAACCAGGACTCTATTTTGATGGAGGAAGGCCTGGAACTAACAGAAGAAGAGCGAGTGCACACTCCCAAGAACACTATGTTCTTTAGCTGCTACTCGGCTTCTGGCAAGAATAGATGTGAATCATTCCTATGGTTCGTTCCAGCAGTCTGTCCTTCCCACGCAGATAGGCTACAGATGCAAAAATGTTGTCTTCCTGGAAGTGTTGGACTATAACTTTCAGGATCTCAACCAGCACATCCACGATGAGAGTTGTAATTCAACCTATTTAGAGAATACCAAGTTGGGATTGGTAGACAACTGAAAATATTTAGAGAGCTGCAAAAAATACATACAACTGCAGTTCCGGGTCTTGGGATCCAAAGTGTAGTGCGATGCACAGCCACATCTATAGCCATTGGGTATGGCCAGGCACAACTGCCCGCAGTGTCCATTATTTTGCGCACACTCGTTGAAACCATCCTGTCGTGATGAATGGAAAACTAATATATCCATCACAAAGTCCAGACGATTCTGAATAATTGTTCGATTCCTCCCATTTGTTTTGTCAGCTCTTTCTATACTGTGGAGGTTCCAATCTGTCCAGTAGATGAAGTCACTGTACTGAGTTAGCCCAAAGGGGTGAGGTAGATCATCTGCTATTATTTCCCTCTCTTGCCCTGAAAGAAACAACCCATATGTTGTTAATCAACACAGAGATTCAAACCATGATAGCCAAAAGATTAAAGGTTGGATGAATTAACTCAAATTTTTACTAGTAATGTTTAATTATCAATTAATATAGGTCATCTATCTCTGCCATTTGCTATTCCTTTCATCTTTTTGAAAGAAGCATATAAAGCAGTACTTCCTGTCAGAGTACATTGAAAAAAATTGCCCTGGACAATTATGAATCCCATGGTCCCCCATGGTCAAACACAATACCTTCATTAATTTTATTTATAGTCTCAGACCAATTAAAAAAACAATGGAATATAGGATGTTCTCTTGATCATTCATTCCTTTTTGATAATTATTCATCTCAGACTAATGGATAGTTGACAATCATAAAAACAATTACAATATAGTTCAAAATTTAATATATATGGCAGCTAAGAAACAAAGCTATCACTGATGAAAGCTTTAATTCTATAAAAAACCAGAAACAAAACGATACAGTTTGGGAAGTATCTTTATTTCACCTAAAGAAAGTCCTATCATAGGAGCAAACTTTCAGTTAAGTACTGACTATTTTCTGCTGCAAAGCTTTATCAAGGAAAATATATGCTGGTACATTAAAGATAGAAAAAAAAATGGAGTTGTGCACTGCTTCAGATTTGATTCTAATCAGTGCTTTGGGGCATGCAATTCCTTAAACCAAGTGTGTATTTTTCCATGCCTGTATAGCAAATTTCCAGATGATTAGCATGATGTGTGATGGCTTCCACCATTGTCACCAATGTTTGAACTAAATCATATCTATACTTCTAAAAAAAACATGATCTGTTGGTGAAAGGCTTTCTCGTGATACTTTTTACGGGAAAAAAAGGAATGCTAGACAAGCTTATGAGATATAACTACAGTCAGGCTATATCTATTCCCTGCTGACTGTAAGAGCACAATATCTAAAACAATAATGTGATATGTATGTACATGGTACATATACATGCACATACCCATTAGGCCTATGCAGAAATCTAAATTTGAAGGACAAAAGATGGGCATACACCGGGCACCTTTTAGGAGCACCTTCAACTAAGCAATTCATTTCCCAGTATCTCGTGTCAGCTGCAGAAAAGCAGCAGCACAAACCTAAGAAAAGATACAACTGTTTTAAGATGCTCCTTAGCACCATAAAGATGCTACATCTGTACATCTGTGTGACCCAACTAATATATCTGTACATATTTGTTTGTTTTGGTGTTTGTTAATTACGGCCCCTTTCTCCCGCCCTACACAATTTGGTAATTATAGGGGGATTCAGGATATTACTTCATACTGGAAGAGACCTCAGGTGGCTTAGCAATGCAATAGTTGGAACACCTAGTACAATCAGCTCTTCTGAAGCAAGAGATGGGAAACATTCCAGAGAGATGTTTTTGTCCACTGTATTGTTCACATCCATAATTTGGACACCGGGACTCCAAAACTTTCCAACTACTTTTGGTAATACACTCTGGTTTGTTGTTGCTTCTATTTAATTACTCTTCCAAAGTTTTGGAACAAATTACAAGGAATGAGAAATCGTATTCAGAACTTAACGTAAAACCAAGTTTTGGGGCTACTTAAACAAAAAGGCTGCTATACCGTGCTCCCATGTGATCAGTTGATCACATCTTTGTCTTAAAGATAAATAAATAAATTCAGGATCTTTCTTCAACATGACATACCACCCATAGCTTTCTTTACTTATTTTTATGCCACATCTACTATATTTTAGATATTGGCAAATTACCTAGCATATTGGATGACTCAATCATGCTTGTGTCCAGATCGGTCCAATAAAGTCTTTGATCCTTGTAATCAATGGTAAGATCGTTGGCACGTCCCACCTTATCCACCAGCATGATGCTATTTGTTCCATCCATGTATGCTCGAACAATTTTGGGTTTTCCTCCCCACTCTGTCCAGTACATATACCTGTAATGAAACAAAAATTGGAATGATTCAATATTTAATTTGTAGCAGAGCAATTGCTTGGCTTGCAGGTTGCCTTATGAGTTCTCAGAAATGGGAAAAAAAATTCTACTATGTTTCAAAACAATTTATTTTGGATGTTTGCACATTATTTGGGGGAGGCACGGGTCTCCCAGGGACCATGGATGCATTTGGAGTGGTATGAGTCTTAGATGTTTTGGGCACAGTCACCCATCTGGATACCAGGACTTTTAAGATGATAAAATGGTGTCTCAAAACTAAGGTTTTTTGTATCCACTGCAACACTTAAAATAACCCAAAGCTCAAAGTTGCAAAAAGGGCCAAATATAAAAACTGCTTTTTGGAATACATGCACTTGCCCACCCCTACTCTAGAACCATGCAAAAGAAACAGAGGCATGATCCCCCACCCCCATTGGCTACATAACTCGCAATGAATGTTCTCCATTAAGGACAGTTCTCCCACAGGAACTGTTATTTGTCCTTTCCTATACAGCTGGTTCTCACTTACTATCTCATTTAGTGGCTGTAAAGAAAACAGCTTTGCAACAAATCCTTGCATTTATAACCTTGGATGTCTTGGTTGAGAGAAAATCAAATTAAAATGTTTGCCCTGCTTAATACACATACCACAGCAATACAGAAATCTTCCCTTCTGCACAAAAATTGAGCAAAAAGTTCAAAGTCAGGCACAAGGAGGAACCCCAGCCCCTTACCCCACTGCAGTAGAAATGGAAATCAGAGCAGGACAGAAAAATTGCAATTCTGTAAACTTTTGGGAGACTGGAGCCTTCCTCCATCAAAATGGCATAATTTGGGGAACGCATTTGCAATTAAACTAATAAACATTAATAAACACCAAGTTTGGGTTTGAGGTTTTTTTTTTCCTTACCCTTTTGATGGATCAAGAGCCAATGACCTTGGATTGTCCAAATCTTTCCACACAAGAACTTGCCGGAATAGCCCATCCAACCGGGCCACTTCAATCCTATTGGTTCCAGTATCTGCCCAATAGAGATTCTTTCCCATCCAATCTACAGCCATGCCTTCAGGGTAATCTAACCCAAACTCAATCACATGTTCGAGTCCACTTCCATTCATAAAGGCTCGGCTTATTGTCTGCAAAACCATTTTAAAAGATGACAGAAATTTCAGAATACAAAAGAATTTTAACAATTAATGGCTCAGTGCAAAGTATTATGCAAGACAGGGCTCCCTCAAGGATTGTTTTATTTTGTAAGATTTAAACAACAAAATATTTAGAACCAAAATGTTGTTCTGGAAGGAGTCCATTAGAACAGTTGGTTAACAAAGCAAACCATGAATACCTTTAAGCTAATATCTGTCCAGTAGATTCTGTTGTCAGATACATCAAAATCTAGAGCAGAAGCTTCTTTCACACCCGTAAGAGGAATGGCAACATCATTGTTGCTGGCTCCAAGAGAAATCCTATGAACAGCTGCCCTGCTGGTGAAGACAAGGAAAGCTTCTGGGATGATGCAGGTCCTCATATCACTAAGTAACTCCAGTCCAATTGGACAGGCACACCTGCACTCCTGGGGTGTGAAGAAGCACAGGTGGCTGCAGTCGCCATTATTCTCAGCACACGGATTTGTCCCTAAAAAGAAAAACAGTTCTCTGAAGGAAAAGAAAAGCTTGGCAAGGACAGGCTTTAGGTCTTAAAGCATAGGCCCTTCCACGTTCAAAACAGCTCAAGATAAACTCTGCCCCATGTCTTCTAGAATTGTCTAGTGAAGGAAACTGGGTTAAAAGCTTTCCTCCATTTATTATTTATCTCAGTCTTAGACAAGATTTGAAAGTCCTGGGCTGAAAATTCACTTTAATGAAATTAAGTTCAGCAGATATCCCTTACAATATCAATGCATTGCAGTCTCAGTCCCTTGTCTCCAATATTTATTAATTTATCTTACAGTTTGTTGAATTAATATGCATTTTTCAATATGGAAAAATATGCCCATAACTATCAATTAAGAGTCAACACAATCTCCAAACCCAACCAACAGCATCAAGACGCTGCAACCAATTTCAGTTTTCTGTTAGACAGTAAGTATATTTCTGTTTCTAGTTGGACCTATTCATTGGAGTCTTCCTAGATGACCTCCTATAACTTTCCCAACAGCCCAACATACCTTTTGCATCAAAAGTATAATTATTAATTATTGGCCCACATGATAATTCCAAATACGACAAAGATAGTAAACCAATTTCTGAAATTAAATCTATAGAGAATTCCAATAGGCAGCAAACATGATTCAGTAAGATATGACAAGCAGTTGTAATAATGATTCAGCATCTGGATGATGAGCAGATGATAGCTGCATGAGTAACTCTCTACACATATTTTGGAGTGTGAAAATGTGTGAAACTCAACAAAATTTCATGGGATTGAGTGAAAATGTATCCTTATAATAAGAGCTAATAATTTGGCATTATGATAATGGCTGTTATTGTTGCAGTTTCAAAGAAAAGGTTATTGAAAAGAATCACAAAATTTAAATTAAACTTAATTGATTTTTATGGCAAAGTTCCATTTAACATTAATGAAAGAGTAAAACATTCCTTCTTTTCACAATAAACTTTTGGAATATTATAAATTTCTTTGTGCACTTAGGTGTTAAAACCTGTGGAGACCCCTTAAGTATTTTCCATGTATGAATAATAAATTCCCAACCTTTGCACTATTTTGACTTGTAGTTTATATCACAAACTTCAGCTCATCCCAGATGCTTATGGTCTGGGAATAGCAGCCAATAAACATTTTTTGAAAATGTTGCCTGTGTCAGTATGGTTGAATACTGCTATGAGGAAATGTTAAAAAGATGAGTGAATCTTAGAGAACACAGTGAGATGGGATAGAAATCTATCTAAAGCCCTAATTAGGCAAATGTAATGGATGCACATATACATAAATCAGGAGCCAAGCTTTCATGTTTATATTCTCTCTCTCTCTCTCTCCCTCTCCCTCTCCCCCCCCCCTCTCTCTCTCTCACACACACACACAGTGTAAATATGTGTGTAAAAGATACAGTTATTTTCAGTATGATCCTTCAATCTGCAGACATGAGGAATATTAACGGCTACTCTCTTTATATACCTCCATACTTAAACTAAAAGCTTCTCTGGACATAAACATAGGTCAAAACAGCATAATGGGATTGGTAGCTAATAATGTGCGCCTTTTATAACAGAAGGTATTGCGTAGAGGATATTTTGTAGCCCAACTGATACATCCCTATAATCATACTTATTTCTCATTTGTAAGAATACATGATAAATTATTCATGTTTACCTCATAAAATGACCTAGGTAGCATGAAAAAGAAACAAAATAGAAATACATCAGCACTATTCAAAGACCTTAACAAACCAGGTGGCTGTATTCCCATTACAGCATTTCTCCAACCATTTTGGAGTTCCCCAGTCCCTTAGAGAATGGATACACTGCAAAGATGAAAGAGGATCATGCCAGTAATTGAGCCCCTTCAACACAATATCCAAATCTCACACACACGTCCATTGGTTATGCCTTTTCCCCCATCACTGTCATGAAACACCCTTGGCAGTTGAAATAACATGCAGGTGCAACCCAGGTCCAACAGGAGAACATAGCTAACTGAAGAGGAGATCGGCTACTCTCCTTCTCACCAACCAATGGGTTCAAAGTTATTTCACCAAATAAGAAAGAGATCACTGAGAACAACTGGCATGCAAGTTCTCAGACCCCTTTACCTATCAGAGAGTGAATCTGCAAGAAGGATCCCAATTTTTATAGTTAATCTTAACACTGGTTACATTTCCTATTAAGCAACTCTTCACTGCAAACATGAGGAGTGGAGCGTAGTCCAAACCATTGGGCAATGCCCTCACTTACCCTCTGCTCTGGTGACACTTGTTGCTTTAAGACCCATCAAGTCCGGCAACTGATCAATGATAATGTCCCGACTTGCCCCCTTCTTATGAACCCTTTCAATACTTCGCCTCTGCCAATCTGTCCAGTAGATATATTCACCAAGTAAAGTAAATCCAAATATATGAGGAAGTTTATCTTCTATGAGTGTTTTTCTCATGGTTCCATCAAGGCTTATTACCTGTAAAATATAAATATATGTATATATAGTTCAGCTATAGTAAACAAGCAAAAAAAGGAATATTCTGTATGAAAAATTTATTTTGATGGAAGTGGTTAAGAGATTAACATGTGATCAATCCTGCAATCTATTTCAAACACAGGAACCAAACTCCTAATTTATTGAAACAAAAATATTTCTAGTTTTCCTTAATTCTATTAGCCAGCTATTATTATTATTAATCACACGGGAATAAGAAACTTGTAAATCATTCATAAACTTAGGCAATTATTATACATTTTAATTCTCAACTATTGATCTTGAAGTGCAGAAGGCTGTAGGACTTAGACAACTTTCACTGATCCTGAAAATCGTAAGCATGGGTCCTACCTAGAAGATCATCAGGGATTATTAGCGCTTTAGACTAGATTAATTTTTTTTAAAAAATCATGAAAGATGGTCCTGGCAAAAACTTGCACTACAAATAAAAATACATGGATATAGTCCAACTATATTCTGTGAAAATTATATTTTGTGAAAACTTGATTTTATTTACTCATATTAAAATAGAAATAATTCAATTTCTATTATTCCTCCCATCTACAATAATATTATCAAACCTCCGCAGCTATTAGATCTGTTCCTAACACTGTGCAACCTCTCCCTTAAGAGCTGAATATTTGGGTTTGAACGACCATTTCAATCTACTCTTTAGAAATAACCCAACTTAACCCTGTATTGTTGATACATATCACTCATGCTATTTTGCTGAGGTAAGCAAAATACAGAAATGAAGAAAGAAATTGTTAGCTAAGGAATTCAAAACATAATTTTAAGAAAGGTAAATATAGCTAAATCTATGCTGATGAATATTCTTGGACATCCAGGTAAAGTTGTCTGAAGGTTGAGTCATGGTTAGTCAATGTCCAGTTGACATGACTCAACCTTCAGACAACTTTACCTGGATGGCTGGAATTTTCATCAATATATTGCAAAGCGCTTGGGGAGGAAACTCCTGAGGTTGGTGCAGGAGGAGTTGGTACAGTCCAACAATACCCTGCCTAACTAACTTGCTATGACTGAAGCTTCTTAGACGAGCAGTGGAATGTCTCAAACTAACAGGAAAAAAAATCCAGTTATCAGGACTCAACCTTCAGACATCTAGTTTAGACCTTTGCACAGGTTCGCCTGGTGCACCAATTGCGACCCTACTTGGATCGGAAGGCTCTCCTCACAGTCACACAAGCCCTTGTCACCTCATGGTTAGATTATTGCAACACGCTCTACATGGGGCTACCCTTGAAAAGTGTTCGGAGACTACAGTTGGTCCAGAACGCAGCCACGCGAGCTGTCGTGGGTGCACCTAGATACACCCACATTACACCAATTCTCTGCGAGCTGCACTGGCTCCCTATTGGTCTCCAGTCACAATTCAAGGTGTTGGTTATTACCTTTAAAGCCCTACATGGCTCAGGGCCAGGTTATCTTTGAGACCGTCTTCTGCCACATAGCTCCCAGCAACTGGTAAGATCCCACAGAGTTGGTCTCCTCCGGATCCCATCAGCTAAACAATGTCGGCTGGCAGGCCCACAGGGGAGGGCCTTCTCTGTGGCTGCCCCAGCTCTCTGGAACCAGTTACCTCCTGAGGTCCGGACCATCCCCACCCTATTGGCCTTCTGAAAAGCGGTGAAGACCTGGCTTTTCCGGCAGGCCTGGGGCCGTTGATCTCGCTCTTGTGATCTGGCGAGATCCGGCCATGAATGGTGTGAATGAGTTTTTAATGTTTTTAATTTTTCAATGTCTTTTTATAATGATTTTTTAAATGTATTGTGAGCCACCCTGAGTCTTCGGAGAGGGGCGGCATATAAATTTAATTAATTAAATTAAATTAAATTAGTTTATATTCATTAGACTTTCGGTTACTGTGAACCATCCTTGCTTCTACAATATCTGCATGTTGTCTCTGTCTCTGAGGATCTCATTAACTCCACCAAATCACGTCTGTTTTGGTGGTTGCAATCATTTTCTTGTGACAAGGAAATCTATAGAACATTGATATAGGTCCATAATATCTCCTAAGTATTCAAGCACCAGTGAAATCTAGCCCTATAATAGTCAGAGGTGGAATGGTATCCTGAATTAGAATATATTATTAACTCATTTTGAATGCACACAAACTTGTATATTTAGATATATACACACACAGTTCAACTACCTTCTTCTGACAATGTTGTGGTCCTACTGTAAGGAAACTAAACTATATTTGAGTATTCATTTGAAATTCATACACAAAATTCATCCTCTGCTGTTTTACCAAAACTATTTTCAGAATTTGGGGGGGGGAATTAACTAGTATTTCCCCTACACACACACACACACACACACACACACACTGTTTACATCTTTCTCTTTACCCTATAAATTCCCACACTATCTGATCTCCAACATGTATAGGATACATTGAGAACAGAACATTTACCAGCTGTGGAGGGAACTGTGAACCACAACAGATTTATAAAACAAGAAACTTCAATCTCTGCTTCTTTGTAATTATGTTAATAAACCACAAACCTAACCAAAACAAATATCTACTACGTACATTTCCTTTTGCATGGGGTTGAAGAAAAATCTTAACAGAAGCTTTTCTAAAATTTTGACAAGTGAGACTTGGTCTGGTGCAATTTAAAAACACAGTCTGAAATTAAGCTACAATTATTTTAGCACTAGCTTCTCAGATATTCCAAACAGATTTCAACCCTGGGGACTTCTCCAAATCAAGCTCTAATTCGTTATGAAAGTTTTCCTTCTGTCAAAGTATGTTAATATCTACCGCATGTGCACTAATGCGTGGCTTGGCTTTTTTCCACATCACCCAAGGGTCAGGCTTATAAGCATGAAGCAGCCTTAGGGCTGCCAGGCAGCAGTAGGGTAGAAAACTGCCTTGTTAAAGATGTTACAGTCCCTGACAAATCAGAGATCGAGACAAGTTTTCCTTTATCAAAAGGCTTGATAACTTTCCCAAGAAAATAAAATGTGAAGAACTGTTCAATATTATTCAACTCTTTGAAAAGTGTGATACAGGCATTGAATTACGATCACAACTGAGCCCAAAATTTCCATTGCTAAGCAAGACAGTTGTTAAATTAGTTTTGCCCCATTTTACTCCCGTTCTTGCCACAGTTGCTAAGTGCAATTGTTAAATTAATAACAGAGTTCAGTGAATTTTGCTTGTCAGAAGATTGCAAAAAGTGATCACATGACCCTAGCACACTGCAACTGTCATAAATACATGCCAGTTGCCAAGCATCTGACTTTTGATCACGTGACCATGGGGATGCTGTAATGGTCATGAAAAACAGTTGTAAGTTAATTATTTTCAGTGCTGTTGTAACTTCAAATGGTCACTAAATGAATGGCTATAAATCAAGGATTAGATGTGTGTGTAATGCGGCTTATTAATTATATTTTATTCACACATTAACGTGATTTAAATTTCAGACCGTGGCTATAGTATGGGTTATATTCATACATTGTTCTACAGAAATGGAGAAGAACGTATTTATCAACTGAGATTTCAAATTATATTCCGCAAAAATCAAAAGTAGGAAATAGTCCCAATTAAAGAAATCAGTGTATAATCATATGGTATGTTTGGTCTATCCAGAATTTGGCAACATTCAATCATGAAGATTATGCTTGGTCTTCTCAACTACATCTGTTTGCATTACAATTTAGTATACCCATCTACTCTGGTGACATCTTAGAAACCACAGAGAAGTATTTTAGGATTACTCATGCAATTCCCCTATGTTCAGAAATGCAAGCCACTGTCTTAACAGCTGTAGAACTTTGAGGAAAAGTAATAAATTGCTTGACCATCTTTTTCTTTATGCTTATTCAGAACTTTAGGATATAACTGGATAAAAATATCTCTTCTGAATTGTTTTTATTTAGCGTACAGCAAATACATGGATTTATAGTGATTCAAATGTTAATGTCCAGTCCACCCAGCCATTTGAGGACAGGGTGGTCTATGTTGGAAAAAATCAGACATTAGGTCAGTGTAAGCTCTTGATTTGGACACAATGTGATGGATATTTTGTCGAGGAGCACCACAGTCACACTAAGGGATAGAGACAAGACCCCATTTAAATGATGAGTCCTGGCAGACATCATGTTGGGTACAGATCCTGTTCAGAGTTGACTAATGCTGGCGAGGAAGGTCAAAACCTGGCACCTCTTCTGAATGACCTCATATGAAGAATCTTTTTGAGACAATCTACAGCATGTTTAAAGACTTACTTTCCATGTTAATGAACTCCAAAATATTAGGCAAAGTGTCTCCTCTCATCTGAAGTGGGTTTTCACTGGCCCGAGTAAAAAGAACTTGTATATGCTCATTTGTAAAGTCATTTCTCCAAAGAAAAAAAAGCTGCAGACTTATTAGATCATCCATATTTATCAGTGTTCAAACTGATCACAGTAACAGCGCAAAACATCATCAAGTCATTGGGGGGGGTACTTTTTTTGTTTTGCAATACCACATGATGGTACTTGCTTAATTTTTGATAATTCTGTTAGGAGGAAAACATCATAATCCCTCTTCCCTTCAAAAGGAAAACTGGGCATACTCAAACTATTCCAAGTTCAATAAATTTTGAGGTAGAAATACTAGGAGAAAACTCTATATTGTTTCAAAAATATTCTGAAGAGTGCAAAAAAGCCTCTTCGACCAGTAGGTAGAAATCACTGAAAGGAAGTAAGGATAGCAGCGAAGGAAAATCATCTAAGCATAAACAATTTTAGAAGAAAGAAAGAAAAAAAAAACCCTCTGGTTTGCCCAGGTCTACGTTTCATTTTACATCTTTAAATACTTAGCATAGAATTAATAGGTTTATAATACAAACTTTTCCTTATTTGCTATGTGTGTCTAAGTGTGTTGTAGTTTGTTTTTCAGATGTTGCTAAATTTTTAAAAAGTGCATTTAAAATCCTTAATCTTTAATACTTGTAACAGAATCC